TGACATATGTCATCGCTGGAGAAGTGGCACGAACTTCAATCACACCGAAATTTGGATCGAAGATTGAAGTAGACTTTGACTTGAAGAAGAACGCACATACGCTCCTATCAAGCGAAGGCGGCAAGTGGCGTTCCCTTTCGACATTGGAGATACCTCCTATCAATGGTCGAGTCATTGCTGATGTCTCCTCGGCCCGCACTGATGTGGAAGTGGATGTCACTATTGAATTGATAAGAGTAGAGGCCAGCGCTGTGCGAAGCCTTCTTGGTGCCCTATCCAAGCCAGAAATCTCGCATTTGCTTGACGATCTGAAGCAAAGTCTCGAAGTCCTGCGGCTACATTTTAACGAGAATATTGCCCAGAAAAGACCTCCTCCACAGCAGCAAAGCGTGTCTAAGAGTCACAGCATCCTGTACAAAGCACGCATGACGATGGCGGGGACAACTATTCATGCCAGGGCACCAGGGCTGAACGGCAAGAGCTATACCGCAGATATGGACATCAGCCTCGGTATGGTGCGCCTTCACCTGGACAACGGCCTCAAGGCAGGACATGCCTTGGAATACCCGGAATTCCATATCGATACATCGAACATAAGCTTTGATTTGAGGAAGGAAGACGCACATCGCAGCCGCTCATACTGTACTTTTGCAATCGACGCTAAGCTTCAGGGTACCTCGACGACCAGAGAGAGTGGGGAAACTCGACGATTGTTCCACTTAACCAGCAAAGGATGCGATATCGAGCTTTTCCCAGAGACCGCCGCATTGGTGGTGGATATGGCTGCCCACTTGCAGGAACGCATAAAAACGTTAGATCTTTCTCAGGAGGTGAAGCGATTCAAGCGACTGCGACATCGCGGCCACACGGAAGGCAAGGAACAGGAAATCCCAAGCATCAACGTTACGGATAGCGCTTCCTCCGAAGGACTGTTCGACTCGATGTACTCCCTTGACTTCAACGATATTCAGATTGGCTGGAACATGGCAGGTGTACCACCAATGGCATCTGGACGTAGACCTGATGATCTGGTGTTCTCCATCAAACGTGTGGAATTGTCCAACAAGAAAGCAAATGCCGCTAAGCTTCGAATTGAGGACGTCCAGTTGCAGATGGTGCCTGTTTTTGGTAATAGACGGAAGCGCTCGCTTAATTCTGCTCTGTTGCCAGAACTGGTTTTCAATGTGGCATATTCTTCAGCCGGAAAGGAGGTTCGACTAGCCTTCCAAGCTGCAGGGAAATCTCTAGACATACGCGCTACTTCTGATTTTATCTTGCCAGCGAGCGTGATTCGGAACTCTCTTGCCTCTGCTGCACGAACTATCCGAGAGGCCAACGCCACTTTAGTGACAAAGCCATCTGATGATAGCACCAAACACCGGCCACTCTTTGGAAATAAGCGCTTCCGCTCCGTTCTGGTTGACGTTGACTTTGCCGGAGCCGTTATGTCCCTACGAGGGCGGCACACAGATGATACACAGGCAATGCTAGCGCCACCTTTGAAAGACGGCAGGCTTCCTGGGTCAACTTACGGGCACTACATACAAGGAGATGGAACAGCTACTGCAACATTCAGAGCTCCAGGAGTAGCTCTGAAAGTCCAATTCGAGGACAACGGGCGAGATGACTCTGCTCTCAATGCGGAGTTGAAGGTCGACGCTTCTACAAATGTCCTCTACCCGAGCCTGGTTCCCCTGATCAAGCAGATGACCTCTACTATAAAGGAAGCCATGGGCGACCAACCAAAGTCGAGGAGACCGTCCAATGCTATGATGCTGCAGTCGCAGAAGTTGATGCAGGAGACCCCTCTTGATGACAAAGGACCAGGTTCAATTCTTGGTCGGTGCAAGGTTAATGTAGGCATCTTGATTTGCAAACAGGAGTTCAGCTTAAGCTGCCAACCCATCGCGAGAGTAGCAGCTACGACACGCTTTGACAGTGTATATGTGACAGTCAATACCGTGCAGTCAGATGATCAAGAGCGATTCCTAGCCCTCTTGGTGTCTTTCAACTCATTGCAAGCATCCGTGAAGCATGTGTACTCAAACGAGTCAACCGCTAGCTTTGAGGTTGAGTCTATGGTCATGTCTCTCATGAACAGCAAACACCTAGGGAGGTCGAAAGGGATCTCGGTCGTTCTGAGAGTGAGTCCGATGGAAGTTGCCCTCAACGCGAAGCAGGTTCAAGATCTTCTGCTCTTCCGTGAAATTTGGGTTCCTTCAAGTGACGAGGTAGACACTGCCCCTCCGCCCGAGCCACAGCCCACGGAGACGCAGGCATATATCGTGCAGCGATATCAACAAGTCGCAGCGACCCCCGCTTTCCCATGGAATACCACAATTTCGATCGAGAAGTTGGAAATCCAACTCGACTTAGGGTCTACGCTAGGAAAAGCGCAGTTCGCCATCAATGACTTATGGCTTTCCTCGAAGAAGACCTCCGATTGGGAGCAGACACTCTGCATCAACTTCAACACACTAGGTATTGAGAGCAAGGGCCGAATGAGCGGTTTGGTTGAGCTTCAGAGCCTCAAGATAGCCACGTCCATTAATTGGCCAAATAGTCCTCAGGTCAACAAGACGCCTCTTATTCAGGCATCCATATCTTGGCTTCAGCTACAAGTCAAGGTCTCTTTTGACTATCAACCATTCTTGATAGCTCACATCTCCAGTTTTGCCTTCTTGATGTACAATGTTCGGCAGACGGATGACGCTCCTGGAGAACGTCTCTTTAGCATACTGGATGGGGACAAAGTGCAAGTCTTTTGCACAAGCCTGACTGCATCACAGTCGCTGGCATTATACCAGGCGTGGCAGCGACTTGTGCAAGACAAGCAAGCGGCGTACGAAGCTTCTCTACGAGATGTGGAACGGTACCTGCGCCGAAAGACGTCGACCTTCTCGGAGAAGGCGGAGGTCTCGTCCAGGGAAATCTCCAAACGGGAGGAAGACAAGATCGAGACGGCACCAATCACCTTGCACACCGGAGTTGTTGTCAGTATCAACACCGTCAGCATAGGCGTCTTTCCAAGCTCATTCTTCGACAATCATGTGTTCAAGCTGGAGGCACATGATGCACAGGCTCGGTTTGATGTCTCCTTGCAGGACAGCAAAATACACAGTGCATTAGGCTTAACCCTGGGCCAGCTTCGTGTTGCGCTCTCAAACATTGTGCGGTCCGGGCCTATGGATACGGAAGAGCTACTTGTGAATGAGATCGCCAATCGTGTCACGGGATCCAGGGGAGGGACTATTCTGAAGGTTCCTCGGCTTGTGGCTCGCATGCAGACCTGGCAGGTCCCGGGCTCTCAGCAGATTGAGTATATCTTCCAGAGCACATTCGAGGGCAAGGTAGATGTCGGTTGGAACTACTCACGCATCAGTTTCATCCGAGATATGTGGGAGACTCATTCTCGTGCCTTGGCTACTCGACTCGGGAAGCCGCTGCCCCCATCAGCGGTTCGGATCACTGGCGCATTTGATGCGGAAGGCAGCGGCGACAAAAATGAGCCGCATGAGAAGATCACGGCGGTAGTCAATGTTCCACAGTCGAGGTATACATATGTGGCGCTGGAAACACCGGTGATCGAGACCCCTCAACTCCGCGATATGGGCGAGGCGACGCCACCGTTGGAATGGATTGGACTTCAACGGGATAAGCTGCCCAACATTACTCATCAAATTGTCATCGTCACGCTTCTGGAGATTGCCAAGGAGGTGGAGGATGCGTACGCGAAGATTTTAGGCTCTTCCTGATTTCACGCGGTTCTGTATATAATTTCTACAAATAACAATAAATTCATTATCACTAAGTAATATTCCACGTTGTACCTGAGGCTATTTTGAAAAAGATCCTGATATATCAAGGTACTTTTATGATTCCATTAGGACCCGGTGTAGTCCTACTGTAAGATGTTTTTCAATCATCCAATCAGGATATGCCCTAGTCACAAGCCGGAGACGACAGAAGTTTCTTCTGCATATCAAATTTAACTATGAGCTGACCAGCATCAACTATCAATAGTCACCTGGGATCTCTACACACAGTCTCACAGCACATACACAACAATAGTGGTTCATGCCAGAATAGTATCATCCAAAGGAGAGCCCGAATAGGGCCTCTTCCAATAACCGGAATAAGGGGGTAATCAAAAAGGTGATATACGTACCTCTATCATAGCGCATTTTCTCTGTGTGTGGTCACACACTCAAATCAAGTACTAAGAAAGCAGTCCCCGATAGTGGCGGTGAGTTAGGATGAAAAGTCCTTGCGTGGCGTATTTGAAAAGTGATCGCGCCTCTCAGGCGGTAAGAGCCAAGAACTTGAGACCTTGCATAGTACTTAGCAGAGCAATAGAATAGAACATAAATTTATAACAATTCTATGGGGTATGTATGATATGTGGGCCACGCTACTGTGCTTTACTGTCTGTTCTCATCTACACACTGGACTTACACGTGGGTAACCTAATCTTGCATTTTATGTCTATCGGCCTCTTATGTCGAGGTGATTTTTCACTAGGTAACTGACCGATGATGCGGGGATGAAGTGCTGATGACTTAATTTGAGGTTCAATGTGGTGTGGTGATTATTAAAGACTAAACATAGGAATGATAAGAGCAGGGTATATCAAAAACGTGTATTCTATAGCAAAGAAGATAAGACTTGACGAGTCAACGTAGCAAATACTCGAGAAAGATATCCAATTCACTAACTTAGATACACAAAGTCTTACATACAAGGTAGACTCTTCAATCCGTAGCCTGTTCTATACTTCGTAGTATGTAAAATAGCAAGCAAATCAGCGCACTCATCGTTCAGCATAACATGTGACATCAACCACGTTTCCTCCACAAGTTCACAGATACCTAAAGAAAGACATGCTCATAAGCGTGACATAAACCGGAATCAATAGTAGATGTCGACGATAACCTAGAGGCGCATGCCTCTGGCGCACGTTGTGTTGTCGAACTGCCTCTGAAGGGAACACGGCACGGGGGTCACTCGGGTGAGTCTCGAAGACTGCTTTTCGAGAAGGATATTGAGGCGGCCATATGACGCATGACAGTGGGACTAGGTGGCAGGTAAGACTTATGTAGCACATAAGGACAACAGGAGGGTAGAGCAAGGTGGTCATAAGACGAAACTGCCAGTCGGGATGATATCTCTCGACGATGTCCATTACCGAATGGAAAATTCCAGCGAGGGTGCCAATCACGAAAAGGACGTTGAAGCCAACCCCAGAATCCCACAAGTCCCTTTTCAACTGTCTCATTCGCGTGGGGACCATGTTGGGATTGTTCCAGCTGTTCTGGGCACTACCAGTCACTACAGATCTACCAGCCTGTAAACCGAATATATGGAATTGAATCACAGTCCACAGTCGGTCTTTGGTGGCTGTCAGTCTATGTTATACCTTATTGGGATTGATAGACGGTAAGACTTACCTGCACATATCCACAGGTCACCAAAATGAGCAAATGCGGGCATTAGGAAGCCCGTTGCTGCAGCCTTGAGCCATTCATACAGGAAAATGAGACCAAATGATACCAAGGATAATGGGATCTGGACCTGAAGTAGATTGTGTGGGACAAGTTGTTGGCGTGAAACTAACGCAGAAGCGATTGTCGCACATCCGACAACCTGAATCAGAGGCGTCAAAAGCCAGACAATACCAAACAATGCCATATGATATCTCGACGAAGTCGGGATAGACTCCCTGGATGGTGCCCAAGGAGTACCGATCAGCTGGACCAAGCCAGTGATCCATCGTCGGTTCTGCCGGACATGGCCTTCCAACGAAGTTGGCACGCGTCCAAGCTGCAGCATTTCAGTGAGATAAACGACGCGCTTCCCATAAGCTGGCAACAGGATCGACAGAGTGAGATCCTCCACTTCATTTATAGTGGGAAATCCGCCCACTTCGACGGCTAGATCGCGGCGCATGACACATCCTGAAGTTGATACCATACTCGACCCCGTTTCATTCATCCAGGGTGCATAAACCTCCCAAAATATTGCCATATTTTGGCCAATCGGATCCCTTGGGGGAAGGTTATAGTAGTCTTGCCTTGTACCTACGAGTCCAACACTATCATCCCGCAATAGATGAGGAAGCGTGGCTCGCAGGAAGTTGGGAGCAGGCAGAAAGTCCGAATCGAATAAGGCGATATACTCGGGAGGCTTGTCCATGCTTCCTTGAATATCAAATAAGCCAAAGTTCAGGTTTCCTGCTTTCGCAAAGACTTTCTGGCTCGGCTTAGTTCCTCTGCTATAGTAGAGGAGGTTTGGCCAGGTTTGACGCAACTCCTCTACTGCCTGTTGAAGCGCGGGAGAATTTCCATCATCCAAGACGAGTACCCGAAATGCAGATTGGGGGTAGTCGATGACACAGGTCGCACGTATGGTGTCGCGAATGATATCCACTGGTTCACCACAGCATGGTAGTAGAATGTCTACCGAAGGTAACGTATCATCTCTAGCTAGATGAAGTTTCTTTGGCGTTCTCTCAGTCCGTCTAGGAATTTTTATAAGCAGTGACTGGTCTATAGATACCCGTGGCGGGATTTACGCCCATTGTTAGACAAATCACTATCATTGTGACCAGTTTCCAATGATTTTTGATAGGATTGAGAACATACATGTCCAGAAGGCTTCGAGTATCAATATCATCCACATCCAGTAATTGGTCTCAGTTGCACATATCAGGCATGATAGCCGTACTGCCATGTAGAGTGGGCAAAAGAACAAGCCGGCCATGCGAACACGGCTGACGTTCGCCTGGGCGAATCGTATAATAGCTGGCTCCATTGCTATGGATACCAGAGGTGATATTGTGCCAATTATAGCAGGAAAAGTTGGAAGTGCATCTGATACCCAGGACCGTAGATAGAAGATCGATATTTTCGAAACTTACTTGAAGCTAGCCCTGCCATGAGCCCAGCATGTTCTTATAAGAAGGTGTAGATGCGGGACTAACAGGGAGCTTTGGAGAGAGGTTTCAGCTACACTATGGCTGTTCACACGCTAGTAAGAGACTACTGCATGTACTCAGGCGATCTATCTATGCAGGTTTCTTTCTAGGTATCGCTCACCGCTATGATTGGACGGCATCCGGTAGTTACTGGCATGTGAGCAACGTAACTGGCGATATGTATCAGCGCGAGCTCGTCACATATAGTTAACAATCCATGCACATGGCTCACCGATCGACGAAGGCTCACATCGTCGGTGAAATATCCGTTTTTTTTTTTTCTTTTTCTTTTGGCTGAGCAAGCAACAAATCTGACAGCATTTTGCATCAATGATCTCGGGATTTGAAAGAATTGCTTTTTACTCTCAGCCCATGCAGTAGGGGCAGCAAACACGTGTTCCCACTGCATGGGCTCTGGGAGTAAATAAGCAATTCCCTCAGATCCCGAGATTATTGATGCGGCTTTGTTGCACAGGAAATCCCATCTTTGGATCTTGTGATGGGATGGATGCTCATGCCGGAATCTCAGTCTGACGGGCGAAAGGCTTTCCGCCTTATTTACGCCGGCGTTCTTTTCCCTTCCTCGCAGGTGATTAGACACGTAACATGCAATCACAGCTCCTTGAACTCAGCTAACAATGCCCATTATATAGATAAGCCTGACTAAATGAGTCAAAAAGAGGTATGATTGATTGCCAATCTTTTGGCAGATGCAACTCTCGACCTGACATAGATCATGGTACGGGCTCGAACTCAACCAAGTTTCCCACTCTGCCAGATCTTCTCTATGAATGTGTTTGAGGATGCCTTTTATCCAGAAGGACCCTAGAATATTGACTCCGAGTAGTCCTGCCTTAAGTCTCTCGAGACGAATCTGGAGCGTCGCGTTCAACTAAGTCTTGGGTAAACGTAGCCGTAAGTCCAACGGCATTCACCAAATCGACCTCTGCCACTCAAGCCCTATCCGCTGTTGATCCGTCATGCGCTGGCGACCAACCTTGCACAGGCTGACATGCTAGCTATCAAAATATTCCGAAATGTCGCAGCAAAAAGCTACTGCCTCAAAATTGACTACTGAGGCTGGGGAAAGGAGTTCTGTGTCTTCGAAAAAAAGTCGAGGCTTGAATGCACATTGCTGTTCCGCTGATTATGGAAGAGCGAGAGATCTCAGCTACAGAGGCATGCGAAGTCATGGACAGCTTATTGTCGACTACGAACAAGAGGCACTGCCGATGCGTAATGAGCTTGTGGCAGAACACGGCCAATCGGACAAACTGAGATGGTTCCTGGTCTGACACATATGGCTTTGCTCGGGCAACAGTCTATAAGACTCAACCTATCCTCAATATCATTCGCACGCTCGAAAATGAGGGGCCAATAATTTGGCGGTCTAAACAGCCGTGTCGTGAACCTATTGGATATACTGTCTTGTATCAATCCGAAAATTGACACTCGAACGACATTGAATTGGATATATCGTTGTTTGGATGGATTGCTATGAAATATTGCGCAGACGATCATCCTTAGCGTATGGACTTTCAGATGCGCAAACATGGAACTGAAACACCGTCTGTTCGTCTCTACAGTATCAATACATATCATTACAAACAGTCCATGTTCCTGATAGTGTTTATCACTGCATATTAGTTCGCCACAATGGGTTCCCAGAAGCATAGACGGTCTTAGGGGAGCCATCAATGTCCTTGAAATGAGTTGCATTACGACCCAAGATGACTATATGCTTCAGAGGCGCATTGTTATTCACGTTAGTACAATCATTTTGCTCCGATTATTACTTTAGCTATATACTTACCAGATGCCAGCCCATCAGGTTATATTTTGAACCTATCCGTTGCGAACGTCCCCTTAGCATAGGATGTTGTTTCCTATAAGATTTCAGCTATACCTTGAACATATGAGATTACATCCCCTCATCTATTCTCTTAATACAAGACGCCCTGATGCCATGAAAATTGTTGGCTTCGCCTGTTCCACTTCCGGAATGTTCAGGGTCGTGCAACTGTGATTGTATAGCACTATAGCCAGAGAAAAGACACTCAGTGGTCGATGTTCTTGTTGTGTCATTCTTGATGACGTTCCACGATGATTTCTGAGGCGACACTTGTCGACAAACACGGCTTGTGGTGAACTGACGAGCCTAGGGCGAACAGAGCTAGCGTCGGCTCTATCATGACATTTAAAAAAATTGTTATTTCTGTATAGCTTGTATTATGCTACCCACTGCATAATGCTGCCATCGATGGCCGGTCTAGTAAATAATCGAGCTTCATAAACAAGACTTATTCCGTATATAATCTGATTGATTTTATCCTGGCTTCGAAAAGCCGATTTATGATGAGATAACATTCATTATCAACAGTGGTGCCACTACATATAATTGAAGATACCCAGGGCTCACTTCAGAAACTTAAGCACATCTTCTATAAAAATTGTCAAATCCTCACAGGTGGTCGGTGATCCAGCCACGTGACCAAGCCTATAGTATTATTGCTTCAGCAGTAGCTTAGACAATACTATGCCACATTATCTACCTTGGGATAGATTGATAGAACAAAGAGCCTAGACTAGTCATATGTCTACTGCAAAAGGGCACATCGGACCGCATTTGCAGGTGTGCAGGAGTAGTCGGGCGGGCGATTGGCCTGCCGCTGTCAAATTGGTCGAACCACGTTGTTGTAACGTTCGGTAATGCATTAATTCCTAACTCCGCTTCCCCCCATCCCGTGACCAGCCGGGCGGTGAGGAAGGAGGGGTCGATACCAGCCTGCAGTAAGCAGCTACAATGTAGAGAGGGATAAAACTTCATTACAAGCTAGACAGATAATAACTAAAAGCGACGGCCATTATTGAGGTTCTTTTATTTCCCTCCTTTTTACTTCCCTTGAATATATAACGATGTTCGTTCAATTGAAAGAAGCTGACCAAGATGATGAACATGAAGATGTTGGCCAGTGAGACTAGGCCGCAATCGGGTAAGCTCCATACCTTAATTACCCACTCAGGATGGCGGGAAAGACTTCTCTGGTACAACGGATCATGATATCAGCACACTTCAGCACTCTTGCCACCCACCCACCTGAACACGGGATCACCATTGAAAGGGAGGTTGGAGGTTACTGAAAGGTGGCTAAAGATACCAGAAGAAGCTCGTGTACGGGAAAGAGAGGAGCTATGAGCTCTCTAAGCTTTTAGTAACTGGTCATTGGATGACCTCTCCAGAGGAAGGTGTAATTTGCCCATAAACCATGGTCAACTCCCATTACCTTAGTTACAGTTAAGTCTGTGCTGCTGGGAAGTGCGGGCACCCAGAGAGGAAGTTGAACGAGCAAACTAATGATACTGCTCGGGTGATGAAGAGTCCTATAATCTGTGTAGTAGTTCAGCCGTCATTACGGATACTCATCCACAATCTACCAGAATTACCCAGTATTTATTTCCCTTGATTTATAACCATTACGATAAGCAGGACTGGTGGGCACTGAAAAAGAGAAAAGAAAGATACGAGTACTATTAGATAGAGGGTAAAGAAAAGTAACCGACGCTAAGCAGTGAAACGGTAAGGAAACGAGGGGCCCGACAAGAAAAAACGCACATCCCAGATTTGAAATCGGAAAAAATCCCACCAGCACAAAAAAAAGTGTCCCCACCCGCCGCCCTCTCGCTTTCCTTCCCTCTTTTCCCCTCTTCCTCTCCATCCGCCCTCTTCCCTTCCCTCTTCTCTCTTTTTCCTTCCTTCACCTTCCTCCGCGAAGCCATCTCTGTCTCTTTCCCCGGAGCAGCGCACATAGGCCTTTCTTGTCCTATTTGATCCCTCGGTCGAGCTAGCTCTCGATCTTGGTCCTTTGTGTGTCGTTCTTCCTTTTTATTTTCTTTTTTTACGAAACCCCGCCTCTACGGCAGTTGACGAGAAAAATCAGTCAAGATGGTTAAGTACGTTCATCCACCCACACTCCCGGTCAATCTCTATGGCGATGCTATACCATCGCATAGATGGGTTGAGGGATCTGCATCATACCTTGGAAACGTGGAATAACGTGCTAACGATGTTCTCTATAGCTTCACTATCGAAGAGGTCCGTTCTATGTTCCCCGCACCCACCTGCATCGGGCTGCCTCTCGACACCTAAGAGGCAACCCCGGCCCAGATTTGGGAAAAGCAATCAATCAACGAGGATGGAAGTGTACTGATGCTGGAAATAGATCCGCGGCCTGATGGACCGCCCGGCCAACATCCGTAACATGTCCGTCATTGCTCACGGTATGTACTTGATCCAGGTCTTGGTATCATGGAATGGCCATGTATCTCTCGAATCAATCTCGCTGACTCGCAACAATAGTCGATCACGGAAAGTCCACCCTTTCCGACTCCCTGGTCCAGCGTGCCGGTATTATCTCGGCTGCTAAGGCTGGTGAGGGTCGTTACATGGACACCCGTCCCGATGAGCAGGACCGTGGTATCACCATCAAGTCCACTGCCATCTCCCTCTACGCCAAGTTCCCCGATGAGGAGGATCTCAAGGAGATCCCCCAGAAGGTCGATGGCTCTGAGTTCCTGATCAACCTGATCGATTCCCCCGGTCACGTTGACTTCTCCTCTGAGGTCACTGCTGCTCTGCGTGTCACTGACGGTGCCCTGGTCGTCGTCGACTGTGTCTCCGGTGTCTGTGTCCAGACCGAGACTGTCCTTCGTCAGGCCCTGACCGAGCGTATCAAGCCCGTCCTGATCATCAACAAGGTCGACCGTGCTCTGCTCGAGCTCCAGGTCTCCAAGGAGGACCTGTACCAGTCCTTCTCTCGTACCATCGAGTCCGTCAACG